CACACACACACACACACACACACACACACACACACACACACACACACGAGGAGTGGCAGAAGCCCTGTTCCTTGGAATCACTTTTGTCTCTGGGGACTGTGCTACAGATGTCCTTAGTGCTTTGCTCAGGCTTCCCTTCCTCTCTCTCTCTTCCGTTTTTTGGGGTGGGGTGCTGTTAAGGGTAGAACCCAGGGCCTGTTGTGCAAGCATGTCCACAGCTCAGCAGTGTGGTCTGCTCTCCTCCACTCCACAGGGAAACAGTGGAGGAGCTCCCCCAAAGCCACCCACTGCCCCCTGAGTTTACCAGCTGAGGGTGAAGCCTGGATCCCTGGAGAGGCAGGCACGGGGAAGCATGCTGAGGCTGTGCTGTCAGTGGGCCCCTCTTGGGTGCTAGGCTGACTCCCTGGATCTGGCTTAGGTCGGTAGCAGGACCTCTGGTGGATAGGACAGGGAAGGTGTTGTCTACTGAGTGTTAGAAGTAATTAACGTCCAAGCTGGTGTTCTGGGCTAGTGTCACTGGTGCACCCAGTAGTGTTAGCCACGAGCCACAGGACTGAGTCAAGTTGGTGACAGACGCATGGGTTCGTAGTGCTAAGGCTGGGACAGTAGCTCAGTCTGGCTCCCAGCCTACCGCTTGGAGACCTCACTCTAGGTCAGCCTGCTGACATGGCGTGTGTGGCACAGTAGTGCCAGAGGTCAGGACCGAAGAGCCTCCCGGTTGGCAGGCTCCAGCCTGGGTGCTGTGTGATTCAGAGTCACAGCTAGCCTCCAGAGCACAGGGCAGGGAAATACTGGGGATGGGCACCCTCCCAAGGCATTGCCCATCTCATGCTAGGATAAGCCCAGTACCAGCCAGGAAGACCAGCCACTCCTGCCACTCCTGCCTCAGAAGCATCCCCACCCTGAGCTTGCAGAGTTCCTGCCTCAACCTGTGAATGGATGGCATCCTGCTGTGACAACACTCAGATGGCCACAGGGCTCTGAGAGGCAGCTTTCTCTGTGACTTGCCTTTTTACCCAGGAGCTGTCAAGGGCTAAGAGTGCCCGGGGTTCAGACAGATCTGCCACTTCCCTGCTGTGTGGCCTGGGGCCAGCACCTTATCTTCTCTGAACTTCAGCTCAGCTGGCAAACTCAGTCTGATTCACTGTGATGGTTGCAGATCTAAAATGGGTGTGTGATGGATGTCAGCTTGACTGATCTGGAATGTGTGTGTGCAGCAGGCGGTCAGGAGATGCCAAGTTAAAGGTAGTATAGTAGCATATGCCATTCCAGAGGCTAGGCAGAAGGGTTAGCATGGACCTAACAGGGAGGGCCTGTTGCAAAAGACCAAGTGCTAAAGATTGGATGGCTTCAGAGTAGAATATTTGCTCATCATGTACAAGGTCCTGGGTCCTATCCCCAGACACCAAAAGAAAAGAGATCCTAACACTAGGGAGGCAGAGAAAGGCGGATCTCTGTGAGTTCAAAGCCAGCCTGGTCTACAGAGAGAGTTCCAAGACAGCCAGGGTTACAGAGTGAGATCCTGTCTCAGAGGGGAGAGGTGTTCACTGGGCTTGATGGTGAGAGGAATAAAACAGGTGCTCTAGAGTGTAGCACGATCAATAAAAACCCAGGGACAGATATTGGGGTTCAATCTGAAGGTCAGAAAAACAAAACAGCCAGCCACTGGCTCTTAGCTCTACCTCAGTCTGAAATGGCGATCCTGCCTCCAGGAATCTCAGAATGAGGCTGTGAATGAGAGCTGTCTCCTCTCATTTTATATTCCTCTCTAGGGCTGGGATTAAAGGCGTGCACCAATACTGCCTGGTTTCTGTGGCAAATTAGTGTGGCTACTGGGATTAAAGGTGTGTGCCACCACTGTCTCGTCTGTAAGGCTGACTAGTGGGACTGTTGTTTTACTCTCTGGTCTTCAGGCAAGCTTTATTTATTATTAAAATACAAATGAAATATCACTACATTTCCCCTTTTTGTCTAAATAAAAAAAGGTTAGAACTAATATAAGAAAACTATATACAATAAATACAATGACTATATACAATATACATCAACAATGTCTAGGAAACAAAAGCGCAATTTCCGTCTACACTAGAGGCCATTGACATTCCCAAGCCTGACCCAGGTGACAGTTGTGCCATTCGTGGAGAGGAACATAGAATCACTTGCAGTCTGGAGAGTTGTCCCAAGCGTAACCTGAGGCACTGTGGGCATGCTCAGATGGCAGGGGGTCGAGGGCAAGGGCAATAGTCACAGCTCAGGATGAGGGTGGGGAATCCTGTCTCTGTCTCCTCCCAGATTCCCTACAGGAATGGTCCATTGTAGCTAGCCAGAGATTTAATCAAGTTAACTCAAAGACATCTCCAGGGAGCTGGGAGCTGGCCCTGTTTTCCTCTGCTGGTAGATTAATTCTTTTTTCTTCTTCTTCTTTTGTTTTTTTTCTTTTTCTCTCTCCCCCACTTTTCTTCTCAAGGAAGAGGAAAACCGCCTTATTTATTATCATTCACTGTTGGCATGGCAACACAGTCCTATGTTACTGAGCTACAGGCAGCCCCTCAAGCATCCCAGCCGCCACAAGCCCCACCCCAGGCCCTGCCCCAGCCACCACCCCCAGCAGCACCCCAGCCTCCTGCTGCAGCAACTCCCCAGCCCCAGTATGTCACCGAGCTGCAGAGCCCCCCGCCGCAGACGCAGCCTCCGGGTAGCCAGAAGCAGTATGTGGCTGAGCTTCCAGCTGCCCCTGCACCCTCACAGCCTGCCACACCTGCCCCATCCCCTGTGGCTCAGCAGTACATCGTGGTCACTGTCTCGGGTAAGTTCACACCCACATTTATGACTAGAACGCTTGGAAAATCTCTGGGAGGAGTTTTGAGGAGTATCCAGGGATCTTCTCTGGGGCTTCCTGTGGGATTTGGGGCATCTTTAGGTAAAGGGAGTCAGGTCAAGCAGAGATACCTCTGTATCCCACTAGGATGTTCCTGTTTTTATCTGTCCCCAGAAAAGATGGGATGATGAAATTCAATTTGCACACACCTGCAAGAGTTGGGCTGCCCACCAGCCCTGGGCCTCTCTGCCTAGGTTTTCTTGCTGATACAGGGACCATTGTGGCTTCTCTGTCTAAGGCCATGTGAGAGGTGCTTAAAAGTCTTGTCTAGACGGGTCCTTGAGAGGACTGTCTAAATGGCTGTGATGTGTCCCCTCTCTTCCCTGGGCACCAAGCAAGCTCCTGTGTCCATGACTACCCTTGTACCATGGAGAAAGTCTAATGCCACAGCGTGAGAATGGGGAAAAGGGAAGGCTAGAATCAAGAGAAAAACGCATCCTGCAGGTGGCCCATCCTGGCCCAGAGCCGTAGGTCTGTTTTGTATCTCTGGGGTGTCACTACAGGTCCCCAATCTCTGTCCCTTTTCCCCCTTCCCTTCTTGGGAAGCAGAGGAAGGAGGAAGGTGCTGCACTCACACATGCCCAGTGTGGTATTTTATCCTTGCCTGTGTGCCCTACACTCACACATGCCCAGGGTGATACTTATCCTTGCCTGTGTGTCCTACACTTACACATGCCCAGTGTGGTATTTTATCCTTGCCTGTGTGTCCTACACTCACACATGCCCAGTGTGGTACTTTATCCTTGCCTGTGTGCCCTATACTCTCTTTCTGCCGTGCCTGAGCATGCAGCTGACCTTATTGGGATCAGCAACTGGTCCGGCTGCCCCAGCCTCTCCTGCAGGGTCCTGCCAAACGTGACCCTTTCTACACACCCCTCCCGCAGCTAAGAAAGACAAACAGCATGTTCACCAGGACCCCTCAGCCTGCCCTCTGCCTGCACCTGCAGTCTGCTTCTCAGCCTCTTTTAAACTCAGATATTCTCAGAATACTAGCTCTTTCCCTCCTGCTTCCTCGTCCACACGCTCTAGTTGGGGTCCCCATCCTCTCATCACATCAGACTCATTGATCATTCTGGACTCTTGTTGTTATCCTTGGCCTCTCTAGGCAGTGACTGGCACGCCCACTCCTCTCCTACCGCAGACCTGCCCTGCACACCTGCCCAGATTTCACTCACTTCTCTTCTTGGTCACCTCACGTCTCTGAGCCATAGGCAGATCTCAGGCTCAGGCTGGGCCCCTCTCCGCTCCAGCTGTCATCCTCTCATGGTGGCCTCTATTCCCTTCCTTCTTCCCAGTCCTGGGCTTTGAATCTGGAGCTTCACAGACTCTAGACCAGTGCTCTACCAGTGTACTACATCCCCAGCCCTCTTTTTACTTTTTGAGACAGGGTCTCAATAAGCTGCTCACACTGGTCCTGAAACTACTCTGTAACCCAGGCCTTAACCTTGTCATCCTTTTGCCTCAGCCTCCTCAGAAGCTGATAGCAGGGTATGCCACCAGGTCCAACAGTGGCACACCGAGGGAGGCCAGGCCACAGAGTGGCTTTTAGGTTAAACAGACTGAGGCCACTCTCACTAGCTGTGAGGTGGGGAACTAGCATGCTCCAGAGAACAAGATAGGTGTCAGGTTAGACTACAGCTCTTTTCTACAATATCACTCCGCCAGGCTCTCACCCCTGGCTTAGACAGTGGCTTCTTGCCTGCTTTGCACCATGGTCCTGGGGAATGTCTTCCCACTGTTTCATTTCTGGCAGGAGTGAGCCCATCCCTACAAAGGACCCTGTTGCCTCCTGAGCTCTGAGGAAGAGGAGAGGCTGCTACCTCCTAGCTTCTGTGTCAGGGTCTTCCTAATCCCTTTCCCAGGTTGCCCATGTGAGCCAGTCCTTTGAGGAAAGAGAAGCTGAAACAGGGAAGTGCCTAGGCCAGCCCCTGGGCCGAGAGCAATCTGGGCTGACCAGGAACCCTGCAAGTTCACTGCAGGGGGAAGGCTGCCCCTTGCCCCTGGAAGCTAGACAGCAGAAGTAAGCTGAGACCTCCAGCCTGGGCCTGGCATGCTCTGCTCTAAAGTGACTTTGGTGACAATAGGAAGGAAGCTCAGGTTTCCCTGGTCAGCCGGTACACATCCACAATCCCTGTCCTCCCCTGAGAGGCCTCCAGAATTTAAGGTGGAAGGAGGTGGCTGCAGTCTGGGAGGGTGAGGCCAGACCTGCCTAGAGGGGACTGCTTAGCCTGCAGGAGGCGCTGCAGCCACCCATGTTTCTCAGCTTCCTTCAGCTCCTGTTTTTCCAGAGCTCAAGAGGGCTGTGCCCACAAGAGGGAAATGGTGCTGCTTGTCAGCATCTTCAGTGAAGGTGGGGAAACTGAGGTTCAAGAAGACATAAGACCCTGGAACAGCAGGGGCCCAGAATCTTGCCCTGAACTTTCAGAAGAGAGGCAGATAGGTCTATCTACCCTTGGGGAAGAGAGGCCTGGCTGGTGAAGCTCCCAGGGTTCAGCCTCCTGAGCCTGCCTTCAGTTTTCCTGAAGAACTAGCTTGCTCTCTCTAAGCTGAGGGGTGGCCAGGTAGACAGGTGGGAGAGCCAGGTGCCTGGAGGAAGTAGTGACCACATGGACAAGATATACTGTCTGATCCAAGCAGGAGGTGAGCTCTGGCTCCTAACCCCAGCTTTCAGGGCCTCCTTGCGTATGCACATGCCCAGAAGAGAGATGGCTAACAGGCACAGCTGTCCCTTGACTCCCTATTTTCCCTTACTTTCCTCCCAGCTCCCCTTCCAAAACACAATTAGGAAGCCCTTGGCCCATTCACCCTCCTGGTGTTGATGGGTAGGGGAGAGTCTGAGGCCTTAAGGACCACCCCAAAGCAGGTGACGATAGGGTGGATGACCGCTTGGAGCAGGTCCCCAGGCGTGCAGCTGCAGAGGGTCGGGACCTGGTAGGTGCCCTGTGTAACGTCCCACCCTGAGCAACAGCAAGCCCATGGGTCTCAGTTCAGCACCCATCCTTGGGCCAGGCCTGACTCCCTGTATTCCAGACAGTGCAGCTTGGATCTCACTCAGATGGGCTGAAGGAGAGCTCCTTCTCGAGGGCCCAAATACGCCTAAAGCAGTTTTAAGGGAAGATTCCAGCAAAATCTAATTACTACTGCTTAGAGTTGGTGCAGCTATCCGAGTAGACCTGGAAAGAGCCACAGGAAGTTTGCCCTGACAATGTCCCCACATCTGGCCACATCTGGTGCATACTCGGATGCTTTGAGGCAGACTGGGCCAGTCTCCTTGCCTTGCCAGGCCCCTTTCCTGTGTCCATTATGGAGAATGAGCTCTGTATTTGAAACCTCAACCTTGAAGTGTCTCTGAGAGCCCCCAGCTTCCTAAACCAGTCTGTGTGATCCCATCTAATAAGACCAGCAACTTGGGATTGGTATGTGGGGTTGGGCAATGTGGGCATTCAGGGAGACCTGGGAATTAGGCCAGGCCCCCCAGCTGGGTGATACAAAGTCTCTGCCACGTGCAAATGAGTGAGAAAGGCAAGTACTGGCTCCAAAGGCCCAGAATCCCTTAGAGCAGCACCTGGTACACCAGAAACAGTATCAGCATCCACAGCCCTCTCTTTGATAACCCTTTGTTGCCATGTAACCCTTCAGCCCTGTGGGAGGCTAGGTAACCCCTCTGGACTCCTACCCCTTGCCCACTGCCAGATCCCAGGAAGATGGACCTGAGGCCTTGGTTCCTTTAGGCTCTACTGGAGACTGAGAACAGTCACATGGCCGCCCCAACCTGACTTTGGCCCCTATACTGCTGAGGTACAAGCTAGGCCACATATAGGGAATAGGCCAGATGACATCCCAGCTAAGACTCTCTTAGCTAGTGTGTCCCTCTCCACTTCCCTGCTGCCCCATGAATCACTTAGCAATATGTGTACGAAACATGACCTGCCTCTGACTGATAGCATCCCTGGGTACCAGCCTTCCTTCTGCCCTGCCCCAGCCCCCTCGCAGCCTGCATGAAGCAGATTGTTTATCTGAGGGCATGAAGGAGTTCTGAGCTCATGGCAGGGATTAGCTCCCCAAGGTTGCAGGTATAAAGTCACCTGCATACTCTGCTGCTCCCGTAGTGCTGGCCTCCTGGGGCTGCTGGACAGCAGAGTTGGGAGCAGGCAGGGGCACCATGTTCTATGATCTTCTCTTCTTGGCTGCTTGCCAACGTAAGTACTTGCACTTTGGGCTCTAAACCCCTTGCTACCTCCCCTCCATTCAGGTAGGGAAGGAAGGCTTAGGGGCACTTTTGACCACCTTGTCTCCTAAGAAGCCAGGAGAAGCCCAGTGCCTTGGCCCCTCCTGAGCTGTCAGGTTTTAAGCCAGGGGGAGGGGGTTTAGTCCACTGCCTGTCCATATCCATAGTTCTGTTTTTGTGGGAACAGGCTCCTCAGACATACAACTTCAGAACAAGAAAATCAGGAGGCTAATTCCAGATATCAAAGATCCTGGGTCCTCTGGGTCCTCATCCCATCATGCACGTTCCTCTGATGGATGCTAGAAAAGGCCAGACTGTAAGAGAGACATACATAGATCTAAATCTACATGGGAAGTAGAAAAAGACAAGATCTCTTGAGTAAACTGGGAGGATGGGGGCCTTGGGGGAGGGGAGAGGCAGCGAGGGGAGCAGAGAAAAATGTAAAGCTCAATAAAAATCAATTAAAAAGAAAAGAAAAGGCCAGGCTGGACTTGGAGAGGCCAGGTCCCATTAAGGGTGGACTATAGGCTGCATCATCTTCTACTGTTGGACTTACTGTTGCAGAGGCAGAGGCAGCAGGCAGAACTGACTTCCCAACCTCTTCCCACAGAAGGTGCCATGCGAGCTAGTGAGACTGTGTCAGAGGCCAGCCCCAGTTCCACAGCAAGCCAGACCGGTGTCCCCACCCAGGTGGTACAGCAGGTGCAGGGCAGCCAGCAGGTAGGACATGGCCTTCGCTGGGGAGAGGGGAGGCGATCTCCCTATTTTCCTGCCATGAACATTTGTTTACCTGTCTCATCAGGATATGGCAGCAGCTACCCTCTTGGTAAGCAACCCTAGTTCAGCCCCTTTCTTTTGCCTCCACAGCGGCTGCTGGTCCAGGCAAGTGTGCAGGCTAAGCCAGGCCACGTGTCACCCCTGCAGCTTACCAATATCCAGGTGCCACAGCAGGTAAGGCTTCTGCTTTAGCCTCCCAGGGTAGAGAGCCAGTTCCCTGCTGCCAGCCTGCCTGTCCCCACACATGAGCCTCAGCCATAGGCTGCCCCAGCTCCTGGCTTTGGGCAGTGTTCTCTGCAGACAAGATCAGATACCCTAGGGGCTGATGTCCAAGCAGCCTCAGGAGTATTGTACTTGTACTGAGAACTGGGGAGGAGATAGCAGGGAACCTGTGGGTCCAGCCCCAGCATCTCTCAGTCAAGTCCAAGAAGGCCGCAGTCTGGTGCTGGGGCCTTTGACCATTTCTAGTTTGTCAGCTCCTATTTGGACTGTGCTAGAATACTGATGCTGCAACCCAGCACTGGAGCATATTAAACATGTGCTCTACCACCAAGCCATACCCCAGCCCAGTACTAGCAGACTCTAAGGACAACAATGTGTTTCTCTCTCTCTCTCTCTCTCTCTCTCTCTCTCTCTCTCTCTCTCTGTGTGTGTGTGTGTCTCTCTCTCTTTGAGGGGGCTGTTTTGAGATACGGTCTCATGTGACCTGAAACTCTGTATGTTGTGGGGTATGACCTTGAACTCCTGATTTTAGGATTACAAGCATGCATCCCACGCTGGACTCTAGTACACATTCCGCATGCCTTCTGAGCCAGGAACCAACTCTGGCTTTGCTATTTGGTTTCAGGGCTCAACAAGCCCTTCACTGCTCATGAGCCTGGGTGTCACCTGCTATAGGGTAGAGCCATAATTGTGCTGTGTTGGGATGAGGGGCAGTTCCTGAGCTGACAGGCATGGAGTGCCTAGAATGTTCCTAATGCTCAGGTGCTCAGTGAGGTTGCTAGGGACTGGCATGGGGCTCAGTGGTGGCAGTGGTGTCTATGAGGTCCAGGTTCTATCCCTAGCACAGGAAAACAAAATCAAAAGCTTGGCTGTGGCTGGTAACGTTGGTGACCATGCTCGCTTTTTTCCTGACTCCAGGCTCTCCCCACACAGCACCTGGTGGTGCAGAGCACAGCACCGGGCACAAAGGGTGGCCAGGTCTCCCTGACGGTGCACAGTGCCCAGCAGGTGCACTCTGCCTCTGAGGTAGGTGGTGCCACACTGACATCTTTCTCGCTTCTTTTTTTTTTTTTAAATGATTTATTTATCTTTATTTTATGTGCATTGGTAGAAAGGTGTCAGATCTCGTGGAACTACATTTTCGGACAGTTGTGAGCTGCCATGTGGGTGCTGGGAATTGAACCCAGGTCCTCTGGAAGAGTATTCAGTGCTCTTAACTGCGAGCCATCTCTCCAGCCCCTCTTTCTTGCTTCTTCCCCCCAGCCTCAAAACTCCTATGTAGAAAAGGCTGACTCCTAACTTTGGATCCTCCTGTCTCAGTCCTGATTGCTGGGTTCCTGGTGTACACCACAATGCCTGGCCTCACATGGAGAACTAAATTCACTTGCAGCTCCTGAGTCCTAGCACCCCTGCTTCATGGACCCTGGGTGGGATTGTCTAGCCAGTACCTGGCCCTGCAGCTGAGCTGAGGTTGAGAGAGCTGTAGTTCAGAAAGAAAAGGAGTCTCCTCTTCCACCTTTGGGAAGATAGAGTCCTTCATCGGGGCCTTGAAAGACACACACCCCAGTAAGAGTTTGAAGGTCACAGGCTGGAGGCAGAGGCAGGTAGATCTCTATTAGTTTGGGGCCAATTTGGTCTACATAGTGAGTTACAGGACAACTTGACCTATTACATAGTGAGATCCTGTCTTCAAAACAAAACAAAAGCCTAAAAAAGAAAAAAGAATACAGGGTCAGATGCCAGGCTTAGCTGAGTCTCCCGGCCTTGCAGCCGGTATTTTCTGTGTCTAACAGAGCTAATCGTTCTGGATGTGTGGCCACATACCCACATTCGAGAGGCTGAAGCAGGAGGATTTCAGATGGGGTGCTAACAAGTTTGATACTGAGACTCTGTCTCAGAAAAAGCTGATGAAATCCGCCATTCATCTGCTCCCTCTTATCAGAATTACAGTTTATCCTAGTGCTGCATGCCCCAGACTAACACAAGCCCACCCACTTGTATGGCCCTGGGAAATGGGGATCAGAAGCATCCACTGCACGGCAGCACGTGGTGGGGCAGCAGATGTGAAGGTAGATACCACTTGTTATTACTGTACTGGAGGAAAGCTCCCAGCCTCTTCCTTCTCACCTTCGCTGTACCCCTTCTGATTGTGGAAGCCACAAGTGGACTTTGATCCCCATGGAAAGATTGGAAACCCTGCCGCTCCTCCCTACAGAGGCTTATGCTTACGGCTGCTGTGGGCTATCCCACCCTCTCCAAAGAGTCCTTCTCAGGCAGGTTTGTTAGAGCCTAGGTGCCCCAGATACAACCCAGGCCGGCCCTGACGTTGTTCCTATTTGTTCTCTTACAGAGGTCACCAGTGCAGGCCACCAACTCCACCAGCAAGACAGCTGGGGCTCCTGCGGGCACTGTGCAGCAACTACAGGTCCACAGCGTCCAGCAGAGCGTCCCTGTCACCCAAGAGGTGCCTGGCTAGGGCGGGCAGTAGCTAGGGCTAGGGGTTTAGGCCAAGTAGCCATCTCGGTCTGTGTTCCTGACCTGTTAGAGCCAAGCAGATGGTCCAGTTCCAGCCTACCATGTGGGCATGTGACAAGAGTCTCTGCTCTATCTAGATTCAGTGTCCCTGGCTGTGACACTTGTAAAGTACCTCAGAGGTCATGTTCTGGCTTTGAAAACTCACATTGATAGGCCAGGGAAACAGCTCAGTGGGTAAAGGACACTGGCTTCCTGACAGCCTGAATTCCATCCTTGAGCTCTGAATGACAACAGGACTCCTACAAGTTATCCTCTACTTCCACACATGCCACACACACAGTAAAGAAAGAGAAAACCTACCTCAGGATGGCTGGGGGTGTACTGGGTAGAGCTCTTACCCGTCATGCCAAGGCCCTGGGTTCTATATTGACTCTGCAAAACCAAAAAGCAAGAACACACATTGGCCTCTTTATGCCAGTTTATTGGGGGAGGGGAGGTACCAAGGCCAAGTACTTGCTTATTCTTGAAGTGTCAGGGTGAGGCCTCAGGTTTTTAATTCTGTTTTTAATGTGTACGGGTGTTTTGTTTGCATGTATGTCTGTACCGTGTGTGTACCTAGAAGTGGAGCTAAAGACAGTTGTGAGCTGCCATGTGGGTGCTAGGAATTGAACTTGGGTCCTCGGGAAGAACAGCCAGTGCTCTTAACCATTGAACCATCTCTCAAGTCTACCATGCTCAGGATGTGCCCAACCTTCCAGAGGAAGCCAAATTCCCCAGTACCAGCCACAGTGGCCCGAGCAGACCAAGAGGCAAGGGTGGTCTTGTTTGTCCTTGTTAACTGCTTAACTTTTGGAATTCTTGGCCTCAAAAAACAGGACAAGACAGATTTTGTGTGCCCTCATAGTTTAAGCTACTTGAGAGGCTGAGGCCAGGAGAGCTCAACTTCAAGGCCACCTGGGCAATGTAGTCAGACCCTGATTCAGAATAAAAATTGAGAAAAAGTGCTGGGGATTTAGCTCAGTGGTAGAGGGCTTGTCTAGCATGCATAAGGCCCCAAGTTCCCCAGTACTGGGCTGAAAAATCTCAAATCGGCCAAAGCCATAGAGACTCTTCCCTAGAGGAAACAGAAACCACCCAACCCAAAGGATTCACAGATTCTTTCCACCTTGGGCTAGAATCACTCTGAACCTCCAGATAGCCAAGAGTCAGGCAGTAAGGAACCTGGAAGGCCTGTGTTGCTAGACCCCACAGGGAAAGGCTGTCCTCTGCCTGGGGAAATGGCAGCCTTTTCCCTACAGGGCTGATCTGAGGTTCCCAAGCATGCATGGGACTTGCTGCCCTGGTTGCCATGGTTACCATAGTCAGACTTGCCTCTTTTTTCCCAGAGGTCAGTAGTCCAGGCCACTCCACAGACCAAAGCTGGCCCGGTACAGCAGCTGACCGTGCAGGGACTACAGCCAGTTCACGTTGCTCAAGAGGTGCGTGTCTCATCTCTCTGTGTCGGGGCAGTCAGACTGGTGCTGGGCTGTGGTTGGGGGTACAGGCACCAAATCCCGAGGGAGGAATGGAGCCATCTTGGGGCCCGGAAGGGCGGAGACAATGGGAGCCCTCGAGATTTGAAGACCTGCGCAAGTCAGGCTTTCCGAGGGCCCTTGGGCAGCTGACTTCATTCTCAATCCCCATCCTGTCACCTGAGCTCAGGACAAGGGGCTTGTTAAGAGAGGTCTGGATTTGAATCCCGCTTCTTTCTGATACTGCCCAGTCCATTCCTCACGTCCCTAACAAGACACCAGGTGGGGAATCTTCAGCCGGGTGGCCGTGTGCACACAGCCCGGTGACCCCCCAGTGTCTCTGTTTATCCTCCAGAGCTCAGGCAGTCAGTTTCCCGCTAGGAAGGCAGAGCAGCGAG